TCATCTATGGGGATGATTATGTGATTTTTTTGTCCTTACTTCTATTCTGGTGTTGGATTACATTTTTTTAATTCATATATGTAGAATCAATCTTACATCCCTGGGGTTATCCAGTTTATCATGGTGAACTATCTTCTTAATATGTTTTTGGATGTTGATTGTCAATATATTTTCAAGAACTTTAACATCTATGCTCATCAAGGATATTGGTATGTAGTATATTTTTTTCCTTTGATTTGTCTTGGTTTTGGTATCAGGGTGATCCTGTATTCATACAATGAATTTGAAGGTGTTCCTTCATTTCTATATCATGGAATAATATAAAGGAGATAGCATCATTTCTTCTTTCAAGGTTTGGTGAAGCACAGCTGAGCACCCATGGTCCTAGACTTTTCTTCTTGGAAGGTTTTAATTTCTACTTTAATCTCCACACTTGACATTGGTCTGTTTAGGTTTTCTATATCCACTTGACTCAAGTTGAGCAGGTAATACCTGTCTAAAACTTTTTCAATATCTTCTAGATTTTCTAATTTATTGGGGTATAAGTTTTAAAAGAGTCCCTAATGATCCTCTGTATTTCAAAAGTGTCTCTGTAGTTTCAGGAACTGATATTAAAAATTAATTTTTCTGTCTGTAAAATCCATTGGGTGAATCTGTTAATATGAGAAGAATAAATTTAAATATCAATTCATTGCAAGCACTAAACACACTTAAGTAATACAGTGCACTGGATCTGTTCAAGCACCTTCTTATTTTTTAACCCCACCTATGCACTAAAGAAGTCAAACAAAACATGTCTTGTATCATATTCAAAATTGCACTGTTTATATCAGGTTCCCTTTAATTACTGAAATGCTTACTTTTTAATGTTTTCATTAGTGCATTCTAGTTGTTGTACATCACAGTGGGGTTCATTTTGACAAATGAAGACATGCATATCAATATAATTTGCTTCATTTCAATCCCTGTACTTGTACTTTTCCTCCCCCCCTCCTTTACCCAGTTCCCTTTTCTCTGCTGTTATTCCTTCTATTTATTTAATCTTCTTTAATAGGTATTTGGAAGATATACATAAGGTGGAATTCTCTGTGGTTTATCATATGTGTACATAGCATAAGTGAGTCAAGTTCATTCTGCAGTTCTTCTTTTTACCCATCCCTCCTCCCTTCCTCTCAACCTCCTCCCTAGACTCCACTAATCTCCTTTATATTTTCATGGGATCCCCTCTTTAAAAATTCTTTATTTCTCTCTAACTTCCTCATATGATGGAAAATATTTGATCATTGACTTTTTGAGTCTGGCTTATTTCACTTAGAATGTTTCTTCAGTTCCATTCATTTCACCAGCAGATGACAGAATTTAATTCTTATGTCTGAGTGAAATTCTGTTTGTCTATATACCACATTTTCTTGATCTATTTCTTTGTTGATGAACAGCCAGGCTGGTTCCATAACTTAACGATTGTGACTCGTCGTGCTATAAAAACTGATATGCTTGTATCATTATAGTATGTGGACTTTGCTTGTTTTGCGTAAATACCAAGGCGTGGGAGAGCTGGGCCATATGGTGATATGGTGGTTCCATTTGTAGTCTTTTGAGGAATCTTCATACCACTTTCCAAAGTGGTTGTTAGTTTGCATTCCCACCAACAATTTAGAATATTTCTTCCATGTCTCCACCAGTATTTATTATTGTTAGTATCAATGCTTGCCATACTAACTAGAGTGAGTTGAAATCTCTGTAGTTTTGATTTGCAATTCCCTAATTAATGAGAATGTGGAACTTTTTTTCATATATATTTGTTGGCCACTGGTATTTCTTCTTTTGAGAAATGTCTGTTTAGTTCTTTTCTGCATTTAGTCCTTAGATTATTTGGGTTTTTCTAGTGTTATTTGAATTCTTTATATATTCTGAATGTTTATCTCTTGGTAGAAGGGTAATTGGCAAATATTTTCTCCCATTATGTAAGCTCTCCCTTCACACCTTTTTTTTTCCTTTTCTGTACAGAGACTATTTAACTTGATGGCATCCCATATACTGATTTTTTGTTTTATTTCTTGAGTTTAAGGGGTCCTGTTAAATAAGTCAGTGTCTGTGCCAATATGTAGAGGTTCAATGTAGTCCACACCAAAACCCAATGACATTTTTCACAGAACCCGAAAAAATAGCCTTAAAATTCACTTGAAAGAATAAAAGACACAGAATAGCCAAAGCAATAGTGACCCAAGAGAGTCATGCTGGAGGCATCGTATTGCCTGATCTCAAACAGGCTAGAGAACTTCAGTAACAAAGCAGCATGATTTGGGCACCAAAACAACATGCAGACCAGTGGAATAAAATAGAAGCAAAAAGACAAACACACATAGATACAGTCTTCTGATACTTGACAAAGTCACCAAAGCTATGTGTTGGAGGAAAAAAAATACCTTTTTAAAAAACTGTGCTGAGAAAATTAAATATCCATATCCTACCCTTTGCCCTGCCTAAAAGCCAATTAAAAGTGGATCAGAGAATTAGGAATTAGTCCAGCAACTTTGCAACTGCTAGAAGAAAACATAGGGTCAGTACTCCAGCATTTAGAAAAATACTCACTTTTTTTTTTCCCATCAAGAGGTAAATAGGGGCTGGGGCAGTAGCTCAGTGGCAGAGCTCTTGCCTACTATATGTGAGGCACTGATTTTATCTCTAGCACCACATTAAAATAAACAAATAAAATAAAGGCATTCTTTCCATCTATAACTACAAAAAATTTAAAGAGGTGAATATCAATTAAATAATCTCTAAGTTGAGACATGAATATGGACCACAGGGAAAAGATTTTTCTAACATCAAGTCATTTTATGGTGGGAGGCAGGAAAACGATACTAGGATCATGGCCACAGAAAAACTCACAGAACATAACATAAATTGAAGGTAGCCATATTTGTGTAAGAAAAACTATTTGATGCTCTTTGTTCTAATCTCAATTCCCTCTTCTATGGTGAGTATCCCAAAGAAAGAAAAGCAAAACCCAAAACCCTTTTATTGCCTGTTCTGTGTCCAGTTACAAAAAAATTAGGTCCTATTAGTTTTTATCTTTGTTTTATAGCACTTATCAAACATGCATTTTATTCTACAACTATTAATATGAATCATCCTAATAAAAAACATGAACAAGTCACACATTTTTTCTCTCAGTAGTTTGGGGAGTACACTGCAGAAAGCCAACCAGTGGAAGGGGAAATCAAAATAGTAAATATGTACCTTTATAATTCAGATCTTCAGTATCTTTTTGTGAGTTAGTGTGAATGCTAGTTTTATGTGTAAACTTGATGGACCATTGGTGCCCAGATATTGGGTCAGACATTGTTCTGGTCTGTGTGTCTGTAAGGGCTTAATATATTTAGTTGAAATTAACATTTGAACTTGTTGGCTGAGTAAAGCAAATTGCTCTCTTGGATTACTCTGTTTTCTGTTGCTACAACATAATACCCGAATCTTGGTAACTGATAAGGAGGAGAGGTTTTTTTAGCTCACAGTTTTGGATACTAAAGATCCAGTGTGGCACTGGCTTTGATGGGCATCATGGCAAGTGGTATTACACACATGAAAGGGAGAGAATACAAGGCAGGACAGGAAGCCAGAGAGTGTGGACAGGAAACCAGAGTGGAATAAAAGACTGTACAGTGTGGACAGTCTTGCAGGCAGACCTGAAATGTGCTACCACCACTGAAAACTCACTGGGACACCCAGAACAAGGATGTGTATTTAAAAACAACTTTATTTCTTGAGCATACTTTGAAACATTTTAATTGCAGAAAACTCACCTCATGTCTTTTTCCACATGCTACAACTTATCACTCTGGTTTCAATCAAGAAGTAGAAACAAATTTCCTTATTTTAAAGGTGAGAACTGAATACCAGCAATTGGTTTAACTTAGTGATGAACAAGGCAAAGAGGGAATCATGTGGGAATAGACATAGTAACTGATGGATCCTCTAAAGCAGTAATGGCATAGGGGTGTGAAGGGCGTAGTGAAATACACCAAGTTCTCATGGTAGTGAAATTTAGTGACCATGCATGAATGTGTGGAACACCAAAACCAGGTGGAAAATACAGTCGTCATTTCAGGAGTCCTTACTCAGCAACAAATATAACTATAGAATAGTGAGATTAAAGCAGAAAATCAATAACATAAAACCAGCCTGATGACAACCTGTATGGCATTGCAGGCAATGATTTGAAGAAGATATTTGAAGAAAACCACCTTTCCTGATGTTGCAATAAGCTCCTTTCCAACCCCTTTGAATTTGATCCCTTTAGGAACCAACATCTGAACTTTCCTTGAAGCATTTTGAAAACTTTATGATGAGTCAGACTCTTCTGGTAAGACCCAAGCCTCCGTATTTTTAATCTCCCAAGATTATTCCAATAAAATTCAATATGGAGCACCACTGATATGACCCCTAGACATAATATGCCTGAATGGACATATTCACTTTTAAAAGAAAATGCACATGACCTTCAAAATGATGTAATTTTAACCTATATTTAAAAACTAGTTTAGTATTTCACCTGGAGGCCAGAATCCTTGCTCAGAAATTACAGAAGATACCTGGGTATGTTGATTTTATCATGATGTTTACAATGAAAAAGTATTTCAGAATACTTAGCAATTGAATTAAACACAAACCAAAGGAAATAGTAATCAGATAGGAACCAGAGAGTGGAAGGAAAGCCAAGAAGCCATTATCAAAAATAATGATTTAAGGAGACAGGATTTAAAGGTCTCAATGACTGATTGTTCTAAACCACATTAGAAAAAGGATGTATGGGCTGGGGATGTGGCTCAAGAGGTAGTGCGCTCGCCTGGCATGAGTGCGGTCCCGGTTCGATTCTCAGCACCACATACAAACAAAGATGTTGTGTCCTCCGATAACTAAAAAATAAATATTAAAATTCTCTCTCCCTCCCTCTCTCTTTAAAAAAAAAAGAAAAAAGGATGTATGACAAAATGAAATTAGAATGCTGTGCTGTGGAGTCTTTTCAGGGCATTTTTAATGTCCCTGTTCCTCAGGCTGTAGATGAAGGGATTCAGCATGCGGGTGACCACAGTGTACATCACAGAGGACACCACATCCTTCTTGAAGGAAGATGACACAGCTGAACCAAGGTACACGGCCAGGCCTGTTGCATAAAATAAGCAAACAACTGCCAGATGAGACCCACAGGTGGAGAAGGCTTTGTACTTCCCACCTGAGGATGGGATTCTTAGAACAGAGAAAACTATTTTATAGTAAGAGAAAAGAATGCCTGAGAAGGGGAAAAATCCAAACATGGCACCAGTAAAATACATGACCATATTATTGGTGAAGGTGTCAGAACAGATAAGATTAAGAAGTTGAGATGGGTCACAGAAGAAATTAGAAATTTCCACATGCTGATGATAGGTACATTGTAAAGCAATCAAATTGTGAAGCTGGGAGTCTAAAATGCTAAACAAAAAGGACACAAATGCTAAGACTCTACAGAGGGGAGAATTCATCATGACTGGGTAATGCAGGGGGTGACAGATGGCCACAAACCGGTCATAGGCCATCACACTAAGAAGCAGACTATCCATACATACAAAAACACTAAAAAGGGACATCTGTGTCAGGCAGCCAACATAGGAAATAATCCTGCTGTGAGTTTGGATATTCACAATCATCTTTGGGACTGTGGTGGAGATGAAGCAGATGTCAGCCAAGGACAGGTTGGAGAGGAAGAAGTACATGGGGGTGTGGAGGTGGGGGTCAGAGCTCATGGCCAGGATGATGAGCAGGTTCCCAAGTACTGTGACCAGGTACATGGATAGGAAGAGTCCAAGGAGGAGGGGCTGCAGGTCTGGGTCCTCTGAGAGGCCCATGAGATGGAACTCCATGACATTTGTTAAATTTTGTTCCACTATATTCATTGGAAACCTTTTGAAAAAGAAAAAGCAATAAAGGGAAGGAAACAAATAAATAAGTATTCAGCACTCTGTGTGTATTTTTAATTTGTGCACTCACAATTAAAATATGCACAATTGAGCTCTATACTCCTTTACCAGTATTTCTCAATATAACAAACACAACTTTCTTAGGACTCTTTCATTATTGGTTTTGATATTATTCATTTTTTCTATATATGTCTACTTTAGAGAAAATCAAACTGCACAGGTTTAAGACACTAAGACTATTATATATAACAGGTCCATTATCTTAGTAAAATAAATCATACTCTTTTAAGAAAAATAAATATTCTTCTCTAAAAAAAGTCTTTCTCAATAAAGAAAATTAAGAAATATGCCTTATGTTATTCTATCACAAAGGTATATATTACCATGAGTTAAGATTATATATAAATATTTACAGCTTACAACTGCATTATCTGGATACTAAAGGCAAGTCAATGGCTCATAATCAGAAAGCAACATTGTATGTCACTTATCTTCTAGGCTATGTTAGTCAGCTTTTTTTGTTAACAAAATATGTGACATAAGCAACTTAAAGGAGGAGAAGTTTAATTTTGTTTCAGAGTTTCAGAGGTTCCTGTTCATGGTTGATTGGCTCCATTTCTTTGGGCCTGAGATGAGACATAACATCATGGTAGAAGGAGATAGCTGGGGAAAGCTGCAAAGCTTATAACAGCTACAAAGAACATAAGTTGACTTCAAATGCTTTACCTGATGCATAGCATAACTGGGGGCAGGGACATATTGAAGTTGTCATTTTATTATTATGTCAATCCTTCAAAAATATATGTGCCTCCTCCATATCACACAGTGATAATTTCCAGATATGTGTATGGAGGATTGCTGCTTGCCTTCCAATAATCGATGCATTTTATTTTTAATATTTATCATCTAAATTTGTTTTACCAACAAAATAATTCCTTATCAATAATCCTCATATTTTAAAGGTATATCATTAAAATATTACTGAATTCTGTTCGAGAATAATCCTTCCAATAAAACTCATCAAAGTATTTCATTTTGTATGGCCAATGATATTTTCCATTTCACTCCAGGAAAGGAGAAGTGGCCCTGAGATGGAACTCGAAAAATCATTGTTTTAGTTAGGTATCATTTTCCTGCTCCACTATGCAGAATACATGTAGATGTCTCCACCTCTCTGTGCCCACAGAGTTTAATGAAAATAGAGTGACCCACATCTCACTTCATGTGTGAAAACCAAGGGGACTTTGTAACTTCCTACATATTTGGTCATTGTGTGTGTTTTTTTTTTAATACAATAATGTATTCCATCATTAAGGCATTACTGACTTTTTTGAAAAATACAATTGTCAAAGGGCATCAGAGCTTGGAATGATGAGAAAAAACAAATAATTGTTTTAGCCTGAACAATAAGTGAACCTGTCCTTCCTATTTCTGCCTCTTTTCCTTTCTTTATACCCATAAAATTCTGTGCCATGATCTTTTAAAGATTAATGCTATAAATGAAATTGAAAGAAAAAAGGGCCATGCATCTATACCATGAACACAATCAAGTCATGGTTTTAACTTTGATCTTTCTGAGACATGTCTGAAAGGTCTGAACATACAGACAGGACTGCACCAAGATGTGTTGGAACAAAGTGGCCAATTTAGGGAACCAAGGAAGGGTCAATTCAAAGTTTAACAGATTTTTATGAAGCCTCCTTTGTGCCAAAACAAACAAACAAACGATAACAAAAAGCCCAGCTCTAGATAAACAGAAATGAAAGAGAGTGAGAAATTCTACTCCAAATACACAGCATAAGCATCTATAGGGACAAAAAGTAACTGTCCCATCTACAAATAGGAAAATGGTCACTTCAGGCTACAAGATATTTTTTGAATGGTAAGAAGATGAATCTCATCAATAATAACAACAATAAAAAGTGTGGCTATATTTTATATTGTCATTTTAAACAAATTCATTATACATGCATCACATAGGACATCCCTTTAACGTTTAGTCCTATTCACTGCAGCTAAATTATCTAGAAAACCCTTCAAAGAGTAATGGTGATTCTCACAGACACTAAAACCCTGCTGTCTGTCCCAGAAAAAAAAAATAGGTGGACCTGACAAGATCCAAAAATAGATTGTTAGCCTCTGGATCGAATCCCTGAAAAATTTTTATGGGATCTAAGCCAAATTAAATGTTTAAAGCAGAGGACCAGAACTCTTAACCACTGGTATACAGGAGGAATACTTTTAAGTCTATTATGGTTTTATGGTTAGAAATAAAATTAAGACCTGACATCACGTCTTCTTTTCAGGTTCAGTGAACGGATTGTACGTACAGATGAAGACGTGGGGCACCTGCAAGGCTGTCCTAGAATAGACAGGGAGAGAAAGGAATCATTGCTGTAATTATGTGCTGAATTATTATGAGCCTACCATTTCTGTAATCTCGACTGAGGACTTTGAACCGCCCTTGAATTTTTAGATGCCAACCACTGCTGTCCCATGTCATCTACCAGAGCAGAGAAGAGAACAGTGAGCCAGGGGTCTCCACCTGGAGTGACAAGGAAGAGAAATAAATGGTTGGGCTGGGAAGGGAACAATTTCCAGAATTCTCCTGGTCTGTAGCCCTTTGTCTGCAATTGAAGAGCCCAGTTCAAACATAGATTCACTCTTCTACCCAAAAGCCTAGTATGAGTCACAATAAAGGTGCTCTTTAATTTCTCTAAAATAATAATAATTTAGGCCTTAAATAACTACAGCATGATAAAACACATTAAATAAGCTACTGGAACAGACAGCAACTGCACTGAGTACTTAGGCGGCCCCACAGTAAGGGGGGGGGGGTGAGCGTCATCTTCTTCATACTTTTCATTGCCTTAATAATTTTTTAATGTTCTTGAGAAATAGTTTAGGGGGACCCATTTTCTGCTGTAGTATGCAATATACCAATGGGAAGTAGAACTAGATTGGGTGGAAATCAAATTCTGAATAAGATTCCTGATATCCCTAACACAACCAGGAACAGAAACTTCACTGTTCTCGTAGCTGAAGCCTTGCACATTGGTACCCTCCTATCTGGCCACCCGACCTTTATGTGTGTGCTCATGATGACTAAATATTATTTCTACTGCATAGGTTCCCTCTGTACTTCCTGGGTATTGCTGCTTCTCTGCTGGGTCATCACCACTGAGTGTAAATCCAAAGGCCCTCATGTGTCTGGTGACCAGTGTATACTCGAGTCCATCTTCAGGACTGATATGAAGACAGTGTCAGATAGGAGCTTCCTGATGCAGCTTCCAGATGCATGAATAGGTGTGGAATACACTATGCTAGAGCCATCAAACTGAAGGACTGGAGGGACAGGCTAAATTTTGACTTTTATTCAACCTTGAAGGCACAATGCACAGAGTTCATAATTATCCATATTGGTCCATGTTACCCAAATCTCTAAGGACTTCCTAATTCTAATGCAGGAAAAAGACAAAGAGAAAATTAATGTCCACATTTTTTTGATGCGCCCCTACTCAGTATGAAACGTGTGTATACTATTCACTTATTTAATTTCTTTTATAAAAAAAAAATCCATCTACCAATTTTTTCCATTTTTATTAGAATAATAGATATATAACAAAAAATGAACATTTTAACTACATTAAATACAAACTTCAGTGAAATTAATTACCATCACATTGTTGTGAAATTGTCACCATCATGCAGCTCCAGAACCTTTTAATCTTCCCAAACTAATAATTCATACTCATTTAAAAAATTCCCAATTTACTCCACTCACAACCCTTCCAACCTCTGTTTCTCTATGAAACACGACAATGAATACAAGCCCTTGAATTACCAATAAGTGTGATTAAAGAGACATTATTTATAGATCTATATTTGAAATGGTCTATAGGTAATGATATTAGACTAAGCTACTGTGGACCCAACTGAAGGTACTTTTAATGTCCTTGTTTCACAGGTTGTAGATGAAAGGATTCAAGCATAGAGATGACCACAGTGTACATCACTGATGTCATAGCACTATTTTTGGGAAAATACAATATTTTGCTGAACTAAGGTACATGCCAAGTTTTGTTCCATAAAGTTAGAAAAAATCTGACAGGTAAGATATACAGGTGGAAAAAGCTTTATAATTTTCACCCAGTCACGCATGATTTTCCTAATGGAGGAAGCAATTTTTTTCTAAGATAAATGGATCTCCATAATGGGAAATAAAAAATAAATAAATAAATACGGCAACAGTGAAGTAGACAACAATGTAGTTATTGAAGATATCAGGCCAGGAGAGATTAAGAATTTCTAAAGACTGATATAAAATAATAGAAATATGCACATCCTTGATGCAGTTAAATTTAAAAGCAGTCAAACTGTGCAGCAAGAATTACAAAATATTAACCCAAAAAAGACAAAAATTAAGAAGTCAGTGACAGGAGGGTTCATGATGATTGGGTAATGACGAGGGTGCTGGATGGCCACAGACTGGTCATAGGTCATCACCATCAGATGCATGCATAAAAAAATGAGAAAAAAGAAACACCTGTGTCAGGAAGCCCACATAAGTGATGACTCTCCTTTGAGTTTGGATGACCACAATCATCATTAGAACCACAGTGGAGATGAATCAAATGTTAGGCAGGGACAGTTTGGAGAGAAAGATACACATGGGGCTCTTTAGGTCAGATTCTAAGGTGTCGGCCAGAACAAGGAGCAGGTTCCCAATCACTGTGACCAGGTACACGGACAGGAACTGTTCAAAGGACACAGGCTGCAGTTATGGATCATCTGAGATGGAATTCTGAGACAGGAATTAGGTTTTGTGGTTCTATTGCACCATTATCATATTTGTTTCATTCATCATACACCAAAATCAAGTTGGCTTCATTGTGTATATTTCAACAAACACAAATAAAAATTATAATACACCACATAAATAAAATCAAGGATAAGCATTACAT